CTCGTAGTGACGAGCATATGGTTCGATTTAAGGACAAACGGTATCGGTTTGGTGCATTGAATTGTGGCTGAATTGTGGTGACAGTTCGGGCTGGAAATGGACTTGGAAATGTTGAATTTTATGCCATGATAGTGGCTGTGTTTATGGGCCTGTTAGTGGCCTTGTATGTTTGTTGAACCGTGAATTGATTGATTAAAATGTGAGTCGTTATGTGCACGCTTGGGCTGAATTGAATTTGATTGTCAATTGGCCGTGTTGGGTGTTTATTAAGCTTGAGGAATGTGTGTGGTTTGGTGCGTGCACGGGCCAAGTGTGATTGACCAATCTATTGGCATGTGGGTGTTGAGAATGTGAACGAGTGAGAAACCGTGTGTGGTGCGGTATGTGTGGTTACGGAAATCCCTGAGGCGGTACCATTACACGGGGAATTAATCTGTCCTGAGGCGGTACGACTACGCGGGACGATGCCCGGTACTACTGGAGGACGGCCAACCTGAGGTGGTACCATTACGCGGGTTGTGTCGTAGGTGGTGGGTGTTGAGCCTGAGGCGGTACCATTACGCGGGCAAGATATACGGCCTGAGGTGGTACCATTACGTGGGCCGTGAAGTGTTGTTATTATGAGTTAGTCGCAGTGAACCTGAGGCGATACTACTACGCGGGTCACTGGCGAGTCGAGTGGAAAATATGAGATGATCGCAGTGAACCTGAGGCGGTACCATTACGCGGGTCACTGGCGAGTTGGATGAAAAGAGTGTGATGAGGCAGGAACGAGTGCGTAAAATATAATTAGAATGTGCACGTGGTTGGAATTGTGCTATTGTGGCTAACGTGCAGGTTGCACGCAGGAAAGGCCCAGGTAAGTATAAATTGTGTGCCTGTTATGTGATGGCTGAGTGTGGTTGCGTTTGTGATTGTCTGGAGGTACGTGATAGCCTAGGTGGGGTTTAGGGTGTGTGCTTATTGAGATGTGATCTCATGGTTGTTTCAACCAACAATTTCAGAACCTCGGCCTGAGCAATGAATCTCCCACCGCCGTCGCCTGAGCGTTTTGGAGTACCGATGCACACTGACCATAATGTTGTAGAATACCCGATAGACGATAATATGACTTGGATTAAGCACACGACAGTAGTCTGGGTAGACGTAGGGTTACCCCTTTGTCAGGTCCATACTTATACCGCCTGGTTTTTCAGGGATGGGCTGGATGAGTTTGGTCCCGTCCGAGGCTTCGATGTTCCATTTGACAGAGTAGGGGATTGGGATCCGTCAGCCATACCCCCTCCTGACGGCGAGATGACTAGTTTGGACACTAGTCTCGTCCAATCCGGACACCAGTCTGCGCTTGTAGCACCTGCACCTCTCGTGGCCGAGCCTGATTCGGAGCCAGAGGAGTCACAGGCGGGGTACGACCCTATGGATGTGGATCTTGAGGTAATACCAGAGGAGGAAGAAGAAGAAGAGGCCCTAGAAGAAGAGCCTGAGGATGAGCCCGAAGAAGACCCAGGGATGGGACCAGAGGATGCACACAAGGGCGAGCCGGAGTATAAGCCAGAGTATGATCCTGAGTTTGTGCCAGAGGACGAGTTGGATGAGGAGCTAGTAGAAGAGGAGCGGGTCGAGGTTCCAGCGGAGTCGGGTGATATAAACCACCCAATTGAGATCGAGGTAGAGCCGGAGTCCTCAGAGGAGCATACAGTACATGGGGATTTAGACTCGAGTGCCGAAGAGTCGGATTCAGAGTGGACGCCGTCTCGAGGGCGTAGGGGCTAAGTATAGGCTTTTTGAAGTGTTTTTTGGAGATAGGGTATACCCAGGCTATCGATCTTTTTGATATCGGTGGTGTGTAGTTGATAGTACGATGTGCATGTATAAGAGATGGATTGTACATAATGGATGTTGTATAAAGTTGGTTAAGTAATGGATATGTTTATCCTCTCTTTTTACCCCAGTTGTTATTGTCCGGGTATTTGTGGCTTTCGCTGATTGATATAAATCTCTGATAAGTCTAATTGGGTCGGCGATACCCTGGGACGTCGCATTATTCGACTAGAGAAGTGTGTCGCGTGCTCGATGGGGTTCGGGGCGTGACAAGCCCTAATAAAAAACTTCACAAAAAAGGAAAAAAGAACCTAAAGCAGAAAACTACACCAATCAAGTGTATTTGGCCTCTCCAAAATATATTTCGGATGCATGCAATTTGAGGCTTCCGAAAAGAGTAGATGCACCCATATGACCACGATGACAATGACGACGATAGATGTAGCTCTAGTTAAAATTATTTTAGTAGTGTGAGATTTTGTGGAATTACTACCAATTATTTTAGATGGATGTTTGACTTAATATCCAAATATTTTAATACTCTTCCTTACACGTATGTTGGATTTGGCCGAAGCATGGAAATATGGAACTAGGGGAGACAAATAGAGGCCTTATATATTTGAACTCAGTACCTCTACTCTGATGGTATATGAGATTTTGTGAGACTGCTGCTAATTGTTCTAAAAGTTCAAGTTTTTAGATGATGTCATTGTTTAATAGTCAAATATTCTAACAAGTAGCACGAGAAGTGCATCCAAAGAGGACATGAAGACGTGGGAAAAGAAAATACATGAAATAAATACATTGAGAAGCGTAAGGAATGGACTTGATTATTTAGTAATCTATCATTTCTTTTCTTTTTTCCTGAAAAAATCGGTTGATTGTAAGAATTTCGTTTGTTCTTAAAATAATTCGAACACGGACGCAAGAGTTACATGGGACGATGTTAAAATTCACGATTAGCTCGCTTACTGTACAATCATGCGCTTTTCTAATTGTCTAATCAGCTCATTAAGATAGATTCATTTAGTTATAAGAAGCATCACCACCTTCAAATTCGTCAGATTAAATTAAATTCTATTGTTTCTTCTCTGTATATTTCTGTTTTGTTTCGGATGATTTTCCAGATTTTTCAGGTTTCCCACGATTTGTTAGTTTACCATAGGCTATGCCATATTTGAACTATACTTTTATGGCCGTCAATTGCTTGAGTTAAGTATATGCAAGTTCGAAATAGGGTTAGATTTCTGCATGAATTACTCCATCTTATCTCAATTGCGATCGAGGTGGGAATCATTATATCTCAGTCTTACCCCCATTATACTTATCGGGGATCCGCTCCATTATACTTATCGATGCTAAAATATTACTTACATTCCTATAGATAAAAGAGAAATGCAAAATAAATTTATCCAAAGTCTATTTGCTACATAAAGCACTAGGCTTTATTGGATGTTTAAATGTAAATATGTACCCGACTAGACTCGTCTATTATGTCTCGGAAAAATTGTTCAAAAAGTCATAAACCTATTGCATTTTTGCCAATTTAGTTCTAAACCTTTTAACTTTGCCAATTGAGGCCTAAATCTTTTTACTTCTTGCCAATTGAATCCATCCAGCCAATTTTGGCCGGAAATCGCTGACGTGGACGTCGGTGGCCTACGTGGCACTGACGTGGACAAATCTTAATAATATTTTAATATTTTTTGAATTATTTTTAATTTTTCTTTTCTATTCTTTTTCCTTTTTTCCTTCTCCTCCCCTTCTTCCTTCTCCAGCCAGTCGCTGGGCATCAGCAATCGGCCAAAGGAGAGGGACGGCGAGGTCGTCTCGCCCCCGCTGGCCATTGGTGTGGGCGAGCCTCGCCGGCCCCTGGCGAGGTCTGGGCGAGGTCGAGCCTCGCCTAGCCATGGTGAGGTCGCCCTCGCGAGCAAAGGTGAGGCTTGGCCTCGCCATGGTTGGGCGAGGAACCTCGTCCAGCCATGGCGAGGGTTGACCTTGCGAGCAACGGCGAGGCTTTGCCTCGCCATGGTTGGGCGAGGTCGGCCTCGCCAATGGTCGGCAGGGGTGAGGCTCGCCTGACCTCGCCGGCCCTCCCCTCTGGCTGGTTGCCTACGCTGGGCAGCCGGCTAGAGGAGGAAGAAGGGGAGGAGGAGAACAAAAAAAGAAAAAAAAGGAAAAAAGGAAAAAAGAATAGAAAAGAAAAATAAAAAAAGTATAAAAAATCAAAAACTATTAAAATTTGCCCACGTTAATGCCATGTATGCCGGCCAGCATTCACGTCAGCGATTTCCGGTTAAAATTGGTCGGATAGACTCAATTGGCAAAAAATGAAAATGTTTAGGATTTAATTGATAAAATTGAAAGGTGTATCATTGAATTTGCAAAAGTGTAATAGGTTTAGGATTTTTTGGACAGTTTTCCCATTATGTCTCAATAAACCAAAAGCCATGCGTGTGACGTCAAGGTCTCTAATTGCTATAAAAAAAAGTTGGAGAAGCATCTCTCGCACGTGCATCATTTTGTTCTGCTCACGAATGATCAAACCAACCTTCCTTCCTCCTTTCCCTATCTCTGTTTGCCCACAACCACTCCGACATTGTGTACAAGTAATTGAGTTTGCCTTGATGGATCGACCCTTTTTGCCAATAACAAGACCTTGTCAGTTTAAACAAGTAATTCGGTCTTACGTGCGTTTGTTTCACTGAAAACTTTAGGATAAAGAAAATTATTTTTCATGAAAATAGTTAGTTTTCATTTGTTTGGTGATTTAAAAAAAATAATTTCCTTCTTGTCAGAAGGGGGAGTTGTTCTCCTCTAATCTAAATTTGTTGCTTTTAGTTTATGAAAAACATATTCCGTAAATTAATTAGTTTTTCGTCATTCAAACACCGAAAAGTCGGAAAACAAACAAACGGACCCTTAATCGCTTTTTCATGCGAACTCAAGAGGAACGTTCAAATTGACCCTGAACAAAAGCTAGACGGCCAAATGTAATTACGCTTGTCTTCAGCATTTGTTTATGTTGATGATTGTCCAAATTGAACCACTAAGTACACTTATGTTTAGTATCGCAAGTAATTTGTTGCATCCCTCTTTATATATTCATGAGCTTGACCACCATGGAGATATCACAAGTTCATTCATCTCTCTCTCTCTCTCTCAATTCTTGCATAAACGAGTAAAAGAAATGGGGGGAAAAATTTCGTTGTTGACAAGGCGGCCTCCGGCGAATGGAAGACTCGTCACAATCCTCAGTATTGATGGCGGAGGAGTCCGAGGAATCATTCCGGGGGTCATTCTCGCTTACCTTGAAGAACAACTTCAGGTAATAACATGAACAAACCACACGAACAAAGTGGACACAAGAGTTACATTATGATGCTACAATGATATATCAAGAAAACACAACTAAAAGAGACAAGCCTCGTGATTAGGATTACAGTGGACATACCTTTTGAGAAGACATTCTTTATCTTTTTTTCTTCGTTGCTGTCATTTTCTGCGTGGGAGGAAGGAAGCCATGCCAAAGATTTTCATCTTTGCCCCTGAATTTTCTTCCATAATTGAATAATCATTTCTTTTGTGGTGATCGTAACGGTAGCTTAAAGTTGACGGAATTTACAGAAACGGGACGGACCGGATGCGAGAATCGCAGATTACTTTGACATAATTGCAGGGACAAGCACGGGTGGATTGGTGACGGCCATGATTACAGCACCAAAGGACAATCGTCCGATGTATGCAGCATGTGAAATTAAGAATTTTTACTATGAGAATTGTCCTGCAATATTTCCCTGTAAAAAGTAAGTTATGTTACCCCTTTTCGTTTTTTTTAAAAAATTTTTCTCTAAGTCACTTGAACATTCAAGGAATAATCTAAAGAGGAAAGTACGATGGAGAATTTCCTTCGAATGTCTGTAGTCAAATAAACTAGTAGTATGCCCGTGCATAGCGTGGGCATGATTTTTCTCACTTGAATAAAATTAGATTATTAATTTTAGTGTAAATTATATGTCATATTGTATACTATTTTATATGAATCTTCCTCTTTCAAACAAAACAAAGGCGGAATTCTTAGATCATTTTATATATTAGCAATTTAAAATATCGGGACTCGACAATAATTGAAAAATTCTCAATTGTAGTTGTTATATGACATAAGAAAATTTATATGAAATCAACAACATAATTTTAATACTGAAAGAATATAATAAAAATATTCCAAGGAAATACTTAATAGGCAGACTTACATAAAAATGTTAAAATATTCTATAATTGCTAATTGATAAAATTAAAAATAATTTTTTTAAAACAAAACTCGTGGTACTTGATAACACAAGCACACAATCCTAGTTGGAAGCAAAATAAGTTATTATCAGTCCCTTATATATTAGAGGCAATCCTCAAAGAAGATCTTGCTAGTTGCTATTACATAATTATATGGATATTATTATTATAAATATTATTAGTGTAAAAGGAAATAATAGCCGTGGCTAAAAATTATAAGAAAATTGATGCATCAGCTATCAAGCGATGTTACCCACCTGCGCATGGCCGAGTTGGTGGGCGCTTTCCTTCCCTCCTCAGAGGTTCTGGGTTCGAATCCCCGCTCGGTTCCGTAATTTAAGTGGGGGGCCCTGGCGGTGGGTTGCTGGGCTAGTCTCCCCCGAGGTATAGGCGCCCAGATTACCTGTGCGGGCTCGTCCCCGGGGAATGGTAGCGGATCCTCGGTTACCAAAAAAAAAAAAAACTATCAAGCGATGTTTGATAATTAATCAAACGTATCAAGTGAAGTCACTTACTACTAATTTTTAACATCGGTATTCCTTTTATTGAGTGGATATGTTTAATCAATTGGACTCGCATTTGATATCGTGGTTCACTATATCCCGATCTCAAGGAAGTTTCTAACTTGTCTTATTCAACTTCTAAACAGTCGCGATACGATTATGGGCACAATTAGAAGCTCGGCAGAAGCAGTCAAGGGGCCAAAGTACGACGGGATAGAGTTGCAATCCACAGTCAATAAGTTGCTCGGAGACACCACTCTCAGTCAAACCCTGACCAACGTGGTCATCCCAGCTTTCGACATCAAGCGTCTCCAGCCGGTCATCTTCTCCACCATCGACGTAAGAACCCGAACTCAACCGTATAACCCTGATTTCGCCAACTCTAGATAGATATCGATCCTTGTACTCTCGGTTTAATTTGAATTCCCTTGTGTCCCTATTGAGTTTCTTACAATTTGATGGGGGATAGGCGAAAAAGGACCGTGTGAAGAATGCGCGGTTGGCGGAGGTTTGCCTTGGCACCTCTGCAGCCCCCACATTCCTCCCGGCGCACTACTTCGAGACTAAGGAAGAGGACGGAACACCCTATAGCTTCGATCTCATTGATGGTGGGGTCGCCGCAAATAATCCCGTAAGTGCAAAAACGAGAATGGAGGTTTGGGTCTTACATAATGGTAGGATGAATTCAATAATGGCATTACACTGATTATTTCCTAAACTTTTCTAAGATGCGCTAATATGGTGTCTGACTATATGACAGGAAATTACAAGCAAAAACGTTATCAAGTTTCATTTGTTATAAAGCTCATCACAACCAGTTAATATCTCGGGCCAAAAGAAACAACAAAAGAGAGATCTAACAATATGCAATCTTGTGTTTTGCAGACCCTAGTTGCTCTAAGCCACATTAGGAGAGAGAGCCTATCACAAAACGAATTGTTCAAGGACATAAATCTAAGAGACACCGATCAAATACTAGTGCTGTCACTTGGTACTGGTGCGGCCAAGCATGAAGAGAAGTACAGTGCGACGAAGGCCTCGAAATGGGGACTCATCCCTTGGATCTTTCATAATGGTTTCACTCCGTTAGTCGATGTCTTCACCGAAGCGAGCTCTGATATGGTTGATATTCACATGTCTACTCTCTTCCAATGCTTGAGTAGCGAGCAAAATTACCTCCGTATTCAGGTATGAGATGGATTACTAACATCGCGTTTGGCTTCATGAAACATTGTCATTTTAGTGCTTTTAGACTAGCTCGTGACCACGTGACTTATTTTGAAATGATTGCACGCGGGTTGCTTCGGACCAGGACGACACCTTGTCAGGAGATGAATCATCGCTTGATAATGCGAGCCGGGAGAATCTAGACAGGCTCGTGGAAATAGGGGAGAAGCTATTGCAGAAACAAGTGTCAAGGGTAAATTTGGAGACCGGTAAGTTTGGAGAGATTACGTCCGAAGGGATTAAAGGAAAATTCACCAATGGAGACGCTCTCAGGGGCTTTGCAGATCGGCTCTCCGGAGAAAGGAAGAGGCGAAACAAGAAGAAATTTATACATCCGAAAATGGTCTGTCGTGATTCGTAAAGATGCTGCTTTGATGAATCTAAAATAGTTTATAGAATCTTCCTTATAAGATAATAGTATCAGGAATAAAGCTCTTCGCGATATTGGTAAATGGTCTGTCGTGATTCGTAAAGATGCTGCTTTGATGAATCTAAAATAGTTTATAGAATCTTCCTTATAAGATAATAGTATCAGGAATAAAGCTCTTCGCGATATTGGTAGAATTTCTTTTGTCTCCAATTATGTAATGTTGTAATTCAGCCACAATGCAATTTAATTGAGTTCCGGTACTTTAAGTTTATTCCTAATTAGTTTTTTTTTTTTGAAAACTTTCACTAGAGTCGTAATATAGACATAATATGCAAATCCAAAATAACGGATGTTCAATGTATGAGAGATATAAAGTAAGAGTTCACTTGGAAATATGGGTGTTTGTTGATGCTTTTAACTTTTAAGGAAAAATAACATCACATGTGTCAAAACTTTCGTACGGCGCTCCCTTAACTGTCATAACTTTTTTTTAATCATTTAAGTGTCATGACTCATAAAAAAAACGTTCATTTGAGTAGCATAATCCTTTTTCAATCACTTGTGCCAAACTGAGGAGTTATGATACTCAAGTGATCGAAAAAAAAGTTATGCCACTCAGGTGAGAATTGTAGGAAAGTTATGTCACTTATTGTGTTCTTATCCTAACTTCTAAATCGCAAAATTATATTTTTATAGAATTTTCAACACCTAAAATTGTTCAGATTACATCTTACAGCATTTTAAAGTCGCTCCAAATCTTTTCATAACGTTTCAAAAATTAAAGTATTATTTGTGTTTTGGTGGAAATCCAATGTGGCTTATATGGTTGGCTTTAAAACCCAATCGAAGAAGCAGTAATTTCTTCATATCCATTCCTAAATATATCATAATCAAAATCCAAAGTCGAAGCAACGATTCCATTCGTGTCTCTACCGAACAAGCCGCCTCTATCAAGAAATTAAGTGAACTAGAACTTTCGGCGAGAGCGACACCAAGAAATAAAAGCAAGTCACTGGGTATGTAACAAATGGGACCTCTTCAAAGAAAAAAGCCTTTAGGCCCCAGGAGATTTAAGCCCTCAGGCCATCGTTGTTTCTTCTGCAGCAGCTGGTTTCTTCAACTGCTTGCATGATCCGATCACGTTGTCCTTACGTTCAAGATCTGTTGATAGCTACCTCAATTTCTAAACATTCAAATGCCAGTGATTGTTCTTGCCCTTTCGCTAATCTGGCGCTGTCTTTTTATGTAAAACTTTCATAGTGCGAATCAGACTTCTCACACGCAAGGGTGAGCTTTAGCTCATTCTTTATTTTCCTTTGAGTGAGTTGCTTGTGTCACGGACCGAAGTGACGTTGGAGTTCTCTCATACTCGTGTACCTTGGTGAGTGGAGCTTTGATGCAGGAGCATCCGACTTAACTCCATCAACAAATTCAACACCATAGATGTTCATCCAAGCAAAGGTAGAGTTCGGTCATAACATGCTTTGGTGGATCATCGACGAAGAGACTTTCAACCAAGTTACCGATTAAAGTTATTGGTACACCAAGAATACTTGTCGAATTCACAGTTAATCAACAACATATCGATGAGAGGTTGTTTCAAGCGATTTCCTATGACATTTGTTGATTTATTGAGGTGGTTATCCTCTAGTCAAAGATAGAGCACGAATTTTGGAAGATAAACCGCAAGACTTAAGAAGGCTCAAGATTTCAAGTTTCCATATGTCATCAATGCATTTCTAAGTTTTTAGGTCTTAAATGTTATGTGAGTCTCAAGAGTCAATCCTTAGTTCCTAGGTATTTAAATGCTTTCTAGTTCCCAAGTCGTTAAATGGTTGGGTAGTTCCCATGTCTCTTTAACGTCTGACTATTTCCTAAGTCTTAGTTTCCCTATAAATAGAGGAGAGTCCTCCATTGTAATTCAGAGAAGACTTTGAATGAAAATATATGAGATTTTCCTTTGCGTGAGCGATTATATTTGGAGAGTGGATAACTCCTATATCGGTTTCGTTATCCTTAGAGAGTATATTACTCCTCGGTGGTGAGCCAAAAAGAACTTTATCCTTGGCTGATGGTTTCCCTTTAGGCCCTGGTGGTGAGCTTCTCATATCCCGAAGTCCTTTAACCTTGGTGAGTGACTTGTCCTTTAAGCTTCGGTGGTAAACTTCGTCGATCCCGATCTTCCTCCTCAGTTGGTGGCACGTCCTTTATACCTTGGTGGTGATCGTATTCTATCCTTTGTTCTAATTTTACCCTTTGACATACATCCCACAAACACAAAACCATCCATACACAACTTAGAAAATCCCATTTTCGAAATCACTCACCCACGCACGCATCAAGTTGTTATCAGAGCTTAAGGTTGAACTCATTTGACTGGTTCCTTTCATTCAACTCATACTCATCATGGATGAACCAATTCTGAGAGGTTTAACCTTAGAGCAAGCGCACAATGAAAGGCGAGACTGTGCAATTCAGAATCTCTAACAACAAATGAAGAGAGTCCTTAATTTTCTTGAAGATCCGACAAGGCAAGGACAACCGGTAAGATGTCCTAATGATCAACACCGACGTGATGATTTAGATTCTCGTCGAAGTTCTAGTGACGAATCCGATTCCACTAGAGGTAACTCTAGTGATTCTCAATACTGAGTCTGGAGGAGAAGAGGGAGGCATAAGGAGAATAATTGTGAAATAAAAGGAGAGGCGCTTGAATTTGAGGGTAGTCTCAATCCCGATGATTTTGTTGATTGGCTACATGCAATCGAGAGAGTTTTTGACTTCAAGTCCTACTCGGACGAGAAGAGATGTAAGATTGTTATTCTCAAATTGACAAAATATGCTTCTCTATAGTGGGAGAACCTAAAGCATCAGCGACTTAGAGAAGGAAAAAGCCGAAACAAGTCTTGGGATAAAATCAAGAAGTTGATGAGCAAGAGATTCTTGCCCGACAACTATAAGTAAGATTTGTTCCTCAAGCTGAATTCCCTAAAACAACAAGAGATGAGCATTGAAGAATACATCAAAGAGTTTGAACAACTCAAGATGAGGTGCAAAGTTCCAGAAGTTCCAGAGCAAACCATCGCTCGATTCCTCGACGGAGTGAATCAGGAAATTGCTGATTTGGTTTGAACTTCAACCTTATTGGTCCTTTGAAGACATTTAGAAGTTGTCGATAAAATTCAACAAGCAAATAAAGATCAACAAGAAGTTTTCTACCAGAACCTCGACTAAGGGACTATCCTACTTTAAGGGTGCTTCCTCAAACAAGGCCGAGAGTGCGTCGACAAAAGACAAGGGCAAAGAAAAGTTTGTGGAACTTGCCAAAGAATTACACAAGAAAACTGATGGAGACACAAGAAAATGCTTTAAGTGCCATGGCTATAGGCATTTGCAAGCTAATTGTCCTAATCGGAGAGTTATGACTCTTCAAGACATTGAGAAGATCGATTTAGAACTTCAAGAGGCTGACAAAGATTCAGATAAAAATGAATTTGAATCTGAAAAACAAAAAGAGTTTGTACAAAAAGCTTATGATGGCGAGTTGTTGGTCATCTGGAGAGCGTTGCATTCTGTAATTTTCACTGAGGAGAATGAACAAAGGGAAAACATCTTTCACACCCATTCCACTATTAATGGAAAGGTGTGTACGATGATTATCAATGGCGGGAGTTGTACCAACGTCGCATCAACAACCTTGATAGACAAGCTTAAGCTGCCAACATCGAAGCATCCTGAACCATAGAAGCTTCAACGGCTCAGTTAAAGAAGCGATCTTAAGGTAACTAAGCAAACCTTGATTTCGTTTTCAATCGTGAAGAATTATCAAGATCAGATTCTATGTGATGTTATTCCTTTGGATGCATGCCATTATTGTTGGGTAGACCTTGGCAAAATGATAGGAAAGTTGTTCATGATAGGCATAAAAGCATATATTCATTTAGCAAGGAACGAAAATTCATTACTCTTGTACCCTTGAATCCAATCATGAACCACAAACATCAACCTGGGGAGCGAAACATTAGTAAGTAAAGCCTATTCTTGAGTGAAACATGAGTTGAGAGAGCTGCTAGCAAACAAAAGAATGTATTTGCTTTGCTTATGGTTGAGACAAAGAGTGGGTTAGAGAAACCCCGACACCCAAAAATGCATTCCTTGTTTAAAGAATTTGCAGATATGTTCCCGGAGGAATTGCCACTTGGATTACCTGCCATAAGAGGTATTGAACATCACATTGATTTGCTTCTTGGTGCTTCTCTACCGAACAAAGCAGCTTATCGATGCAACCCAGAAGAAACAAAGGAGTTGCACAGACAAGTTGTTAAACATATCGACAAAGGTTATGTCCGAGAAAGCATGAGCCCATATTCTGTTCCAGCTCTACTTGTGCCCAAAAAGGATTGTTCTTTCAGAATGTGTGTCGATAATTGAGCCATCAATAACATCACCATTAAGTATAGGTACCCATACCTAGACTTGATGATATGCTTGATGAATTATATGGTGCTGCTGTATTTTCCAAGATAGACTTGTGGAGTGGTTATCACCAGATTCGGATGCGAGAAGGAGAGGAGTGGAAAACGGCTTTTAAAACTACAGGAGGTCTTAATGAGTAGGTAGTCAGTCCATTCGAACTATCTAATGCTCCAAGTACCTTCATGAGACTCATGAACGAGGTTCTTCATTCCTATATTGGTTGATTTGTTGTTGTATATTTCGACGATATTCTTGTTTACAGCAAGAACGAAAAGGAGCATGTATCTTATTTAAAGCAGGTCTTTGAAGTTTTGAGAGGGCAAAAACTCTACGCTAAAATAGAGAAACACCAATTCTTCTCTACAAGCATCGTATTCCTTGGGTATGTTGTTTCAAAAGTTGGGATCTCCGTTGATCAATCCAAGGTGGAAGCGATGAAAACTTGGCCCATGCCAAAGTCCATTTCTAATATGCGAAGTTTTCATGGACTAGTTTCTTTCTATCGTCGATTTGTG